GCGCTGACAGGAGGCAGACATCACCCGGAGCCCCTCAGATGGGGCTCGAGCTTCCCACCGTGGCAGCCCTCAGCTCCTGCCAACACTCTCCTCTGGCTTGCTCACCTCAAGCCTCCCTGAATTTTTCTGAGGCCCGGGTTTCCCACATCGCTGATTCACAGAGATGGAAGACCTAGAAAAGAAAAAAAAAGGTCACTCTCTCAAATGACTCAGGAGCCCTCTTGGACCCTGTGATCTGTGTATCGACCTGCACTGTAAAAGCTGAGAGTAATAATATTGTCGGCTGTGTAAGGAAAGCTGGAAGAAAAACAGATTAACATTCTTCTGAACTCCTGGCTCCTGGCAGAAATTAGTGTCGCGAGGACGGATTCTCAGCCACGGTCTGACAGCGGAATACCTCATCCAGAGGTGAAGGTGCCTGTAAAGACCCCCGGAAGGTGACAAGTTCCTGGGGTCTGGGCCGCATTTGCTCCTCTCTCTCTCTGTCTCTCTGTCTCTCTGTCTCTCTGTCTCTCTCTCTCTTTCTGATGAAGTAAATGTTTGTGGGATGAATGGTTGCCACCTCCAGCCCTGTCAAGCCCTGGCAGAAACACGGACTGGGAAATGAAACCAACTGGCAGGCCCTAGACGCTTGCATTTAAGATTCATGAACAAAGAAGAGGAAATGACTTGTGTGCTACGAAACTACTGAGAGATGTGACGACCGAGGAAGGATGGGAATCGCCTACGGGAGAGGAGCGGGTGGGGGGACAATTCTCCGCCGGGGTCGGGGGTGGTGTGGGGCGCTGGTGAGAGGGCGCAGAAGCACCAGCGGGGGCAGCCAGAGCAAGGCGGTCATTTCGCCCCCAGCGGAGAAGGGTGGAGCTGCAGGTCAGCAGCGGATGGCGCCTGCGAGGTGTTCAGAAGGCAGAGCCAGAGACCTCTGGGAATTGACCCGAAATCCTTGGTTTTCCCTGAGGCGGCTGTGGCCTGGGAGAAGGGAAGTTCCATATAGCTATAAATGTTGTGCACTCTGCAACTTTTGCAATTAGTCTAAAGAAACTCCAACATCCTATTTTAGGATGGCGTGCATTCAAATTATCATCCTGTGCCCCAGCTCTGGGTTCCATGAAGTCCTCATTCTTCCCGCATTTCTGCTTTTCCTCCATGTACCCTTAATAGCACCCATAATTCACTCACTTCAAGTCAACAAATATGGATTGAATGCCCACTCTTTGCCGGGTCATACTAGGTACCAAGAATACAACGTCAGCGAAAACAGACATGATCCCTGCCCTCATGGAACTTACACAACGGAAAAGGAGACGACCTTGATCAAATAACCACACAAATTAACATGACACTGCAATGTGTGGTGCCCCAGGTACATAATAAGGGGTTTGATTTAATAAGGGATATCAGGGAACTCTCTGAGGAATTGATGAGTGAAATGAAATCTGAAGGAATAGGATTAACTAGGGCAGGCAGGTCTCTGCATCTCCGTGTGGCATGGTGCTTGTGTCTTCAAGGTCGTGAAAGACTCGAGTGTGACCACAGCACAAACAGGGAGGTGGGCAGCATGCATGATAGGGCTGGATTCGAGCCAGGCCATCCACAGGGAGCCACTGAAGTGTTTAAGTGGACAGGCGATGAGATCAAATGGGCATTTTAGAAAGATTGCTCTGGCCACAAGAGTTTGGAAAGAAGAGCTTGGAAAGGGTCATAAGTGGATGTCATGAGACCAGTTAGGAAGCTGTTATAGGTGAATTCAAGACTAGGAGAAGAGCCACAGAGGAGAGAAAGGGGGAAGATTCTATATAGGAGGCACAACTGTCAGGATGTGGTGACAGAGTAGATAGGCTTACAATGTATTCCACACCTATACCATCTTCCAACAACCTCCCCTGCAATGAGCCCTCTCTTCATGGGCTAGATTGCTATACAAATACAACTGAGATACAAATACAACTTCCCCCTCTTCTAGGTTTACCCCTAAGGATGCCTTCCTTCATGGTTTCTTTCTAGCTTCCTCTAGAAATGAAGGGAAGGAAGGTCTGTGATGCCTGGAACATATCAAAGGTCATGGGTTGAAATGACAACTCAGATTACAGGACTGTCAACTCCTGTGACCTTAACTGAAGGGCTGAGGAGTTGATAGCAGACCAAGAGAGCCTTACAACACTGCAGGCTGCTACAGTGTTGGATCTGCTGATTGAGTTGAGTGCTTAAAATTCATGTATTGTCCAATTAATCAAAGTATTCTTCTACCACACATTTAGAGGATGCTATGTAAAATTTCTGCATCAGCTGGGCGTGGAACTAGCTACCTAGGATCCTTGCTTCTGCAAAACAGCCATTGATCTGTTCCAGAAATGGTGTTTTATCACTGTGCTGTGCTAACAGGGACTGGAAGGGACTGGAAGATGAATAAAAGTGTCCTGCCTTCCAGGAGTTGCAATCTAGCCTGTCTGCCAATCAGGACAGCACAGCGTGAGTGATAAAGTACAGGCAGAGGCAAAGCCCAGGGCAGGGGACAGGAGCTCTGTCTGGCGGAGTTAGGAAGGTTAGGAAGGTTTTCCAGAAGACACATCTGAGCAAGGTGTCAAGGGGTGAGCAGGAATTTATATGGAGAAGAGGAGACTGCTTATTTCAGGCAGAAGAAACAGCTCATATAAAGACACAAAAATACCTAGGAGTAAGATGTAGCCAAAAAGTGGGCCCAGAGGTGATGGCGGGGGCTATAGCAGGAAGTGAGGCTGGAGACAGACCTCTGGTGAGGTCACTGGAAGCTCCTAACTACCTGCTTAAGGGAATATTAGTATTAATATTAGTATTTCTATTGTATAACAAGTTACTCCAAAACTTAGGTGCTTAAAACAACAGTCATGTATTATCTCACGGTTTCTGTGGGTCAGCAGTCCAGACACAGTTTAGTGGTCCTCTGGCTCCGGGTCTCACAGGCTGCAGTCAAGGTGTCAGCCAGGGCTACGGTCATCTCAAGGGTCCACTGAGGGAGGTTCCCCCTCCAGGCTCGCTCACATGGCTGTTGGCCGGCCTCAGGTCCTCACTGGCTCCTGGCTGGAGACATCGGTTCCTTACCACATGGGCCTATCCATAGGGAAGCTCACAACATGGCAGTTATGGCAGAGAGACAGACGGAGATAGAGACGTAGAGAGGGAGACAGAGAGAGAGAGAGAGATGTACAAAAAGACATCTTCTGTTATCTAATCTCAGGAGTGACATCCCATCACTTTTGTCATCTTCTAAAGGGTCACTAGGTCCAGCCCATATGGGTCACTAGGTCCAGCCCATATGAGAGGACTAGTAGGTGATGGCTCCTTGGGCCGTTTTAGAGGCTGCCCGCCGTAGGTACCATAGCTATTTCAGGCGCGATCCCAGCATTATCGCATTCTGCATAAATAATAGGGAAAGACGTATAATTTCACTGCATATTAGTTTGTTTTTGTGAGTGGGTACACTCTGGTCCCCAGGAGCCCTGAAGAACAATGTGCTTCATTTCACATCTCTCCCTAAGGATTTTATACAACCCACTTGGCACTCATGCTGTTATTATTAGATGGATTCAGCCAAAGCTGCCTGTGAGGATAGAGATAGATGGGAAGGTAGGGAGGCAGACAGAGGAAGTGATCAGGACCCCAAAGTGAATAAAGAAAAAGGTTACACGCCAACTGAAAATCAGAAATGAATCTGAGTGGAACTAAGTATCAAGGTTGACAGCTCATAACACGATGCCAGCTTACCACAGCTTGGCAGTGCCCTTGGTTTTCCCACATGCAACTGAAAATAGCTAGCATTCATCCTGAGGGAGTGCTTCTAAAATAAGTAAATACTGGGAGCTATACCTCACTGCTTATTCAGGCTGGAAGCAGTCTGCAATTATTTTGCTGAAATTAGATACAAACTAAGTTGCCACTCCCGGAACCCTTTCTCCTGTACCATATCACAGGAAAAAGACACTGAATTTTGAACTCGAATAGTTTAGATTTCTTAAAAATAAGTGTGATAGCTGATAGGATATATGCAAAGGCAGATTATTAATACTAATCTCTTGTGAGACCTAATCTCTTCAGGAGCCTGGTTTTCTGATCTTCAGACCTGGGTTAACTTGCTAGGGACACAGAGTGACAGTCCGATAAAGGTGACTGGAGGGATGGATCAACTTGCCCACACTTGAATATACTGTGTGGGACCACCTTAAATTAAACCTGCTGGGGACAGAAGAGAGGGGACTAGCATAGGATCATCCGCTGGGATGGATATGGCTGGCTGTGCTCCCACTTTTCTTAGTGATCTGAAAGCTCTCAGCGTCTTTATCCATTTGGATACAGAAGTTCTGCTATGTTTTTAAAAGCCAAACAGAATAAACAAACATACATGCAAACAATAATAATGATCATTTGGGGGCATTTCCCCTCAACCTCGGCTAAAAAGGAACTGGAATACAGATAATGGGGGTGTTTGGCGGCCGGGGCAGGGGGTGGTTTCTGCTATGAAAGAGCCCCTGAATCGTACTGTCTCCTTAATAAAACACCATCTTCTTTGACCTGCCTTTGGAAGAAGTGGATGAATATCTAAGAGCCCAGCTGTGCTGGAACCTGGGAGGCTGTGGTACTGCTGGGTTAGATGCTTGTCCACAGCTTTGACTTCCAACTTCCCTTTGCAGAGGGAAAGATTACTTTCTTCTCTTTGTGGGAGACATCAGTCACAGATGAAGCACGTTCATCCCCCCCACACACATCCCCAACCCTATACCCTTATTGTGATCTGGTGAATCTTCGAAGTGCCAAATGAAATAAAGAGCTCCAAGTAACCTTTCCTCCTCAGTAAGGGGTTTGTTTTGTTCTGTTTTTGGTCACCATAATTCTCAGACAAAAACTTCTAAAAGGTTCCCCTAAGCAAACTCTTAAGATGGTAACCTCTACAACCTCCCTTTGATGTCAGGGGTCATTTCATGCCTCGTTTAACTTTTGAAATTATTTTCTGTGCCTCCTTTTTCCAGATTTGTCAGGGCTTGGGGAGGAAACGAAATGAAGTTCAATGGAATCAAAGTAGCCTGAGTGGTGTGAAGTGAGCTGATGTCAGCAGTGGTTCCCCACGCAGCTTGCGACCGTCTCCCATAGCACATCTCCTTGGACTGGTGAGTTCAGCACCATATTTATTCTGACAGACGAAAGCACAGGCACAGGCTCTGGCTGCCTCGTATCAGCTGAACATTGAAAGCAACCACCCTTTCTGGACATCCTTCTGCCTTCCCAGAACTTACCATGGTCTAAAAATCCCCGTTTGAAGAAGCAGGGCTTTCAGGACAAAGTCATACAGTAAACAGTGACAACCTGAATAGCATCCTGGTAGAAGGGCTCCTCTTCCTTGTCTCCTTCAGCCCACGGACCCAAACCTCCTAGAGGCCATTCCATGATCCCTGAGTAGGGAAAAGAAAATTCAGATCCATAACCTCGGACCTGGACATTCAAAAGATGGCAAACAAGGGGAGAAAGGACTGAGGGGACCGACGACAGGGGCAATTTCAGAATGTTGAGATCTCATTTATTTTCACCGTTCAGAGAACTTTTTGATTAGCGTCCTTCTTCCTTTTCTGATTTCAAAGTAATAAATAATTCTTAACTTCCGGGGAGGGAATCCGCATTGGGAAGAGGAATAAGAAAGCTCACGGGATGAGTAGAGAAGAGGCTGCACTTGTTGTCTCCCTAGGTCCTACCCCCTGTTGCTCCCACCTCCTCCCGCAACTCTCTCTCTCTCTCTCTCTCTCTCTCAACCAGTGTAAAAATAGCTGTCTAGGTTCTGTTATTCATCCCTAAGCAGCAATGAAGGGTGGGCCTCCCTGCAGTGCCAGCTGCCCTTTAGGAGCTTCTACTATCAGGTGATGTCTCACACCTCCCATTCCCCGCTCCTAGTTGGATAAATGTCCTCGGTGACCTTAGACGTTTTCATTTTAATCAGCAGTATGGTTTTCGAGAGGAAAGTCCTCCCCGGCTTCCCGAGTCGGCGGAGCTGCGGGGCCGTCCCCTCCTCCACACCCCAGGCAGCAGTGCCAGGGGAGCGTTTCCATCTGTGTTGGGAAAGAACGGCCTCTCTGTGCCGCCCAGCACGTCCAGAGCGAGGGCGCGGAGGCTGTAACACACTCTCCCCCACAGGAACAGCTTTCCAGGGGCCTTGGGGGAGGCTGTGGCCTTTCCCAACGAGGGCCAGGCGCATCTCCCGTGGGCCCGGCTCGTTTCTGGCAGGATCACCCCATCCCTACTGAGGGCACTGATTCCGCCGCGCCGGGGGAGGGAGCCGTCTCTGCACCCGGGGCCCGCAGTTGGGCCACCAGGGCTTGCACATGCGCGGAGAGGGGTCGCGTTGCTCTGGGCTCGGCGCGAGGGCGGCGGGCGAGGGCGCATGCGTCAGCGGTAGGTCAGGGGAGCGCCCGCAGAGAGCACTGCCCGTTTGATCACGCTCTCCGTCCAGATTCCTGGCAGCGTGTTGGGGACACTGCATTATTGGAATAGAGCCACAGAATGCTACAGGCTCCTTGGAGGGCGCTTGCTTCGTGCCTCCATTTTACTGATGAGGAAATTGAGATACAAGGAACCATTGGGAACCGCCTAAAGCTGCATTTCTGAATTCTGCCAGCTGGGACCAGATCCAGCTCTTATTGGCGTGGTTTAGGCACTACTTCCCCGAGCGTTTATCTGGCACCTGGATGTACCATGTCCTAAATGTATGTATGGTATGGAAGATAACCACGAATACATCAGAAGCAGTGTAACCGTGGCCACCCCAGACTTACACGTAGAATGATACAGACCTGGGTTTGATTTGATGATTTGCAGGACTACACTGCTAGCTGGATAGCCTTGTGAAGCAATTAACCTCTCTAAGCCCTAGTTTCCTCGTCTGCAAAGCGGAGATAAAAAACAGGACCTACCTGCTAAGGTCGCAGTGCTTAAATGAGATAAGGTGCACATTGCTTAGCACAAAGCCTGCACTTGGAAGTCACTCAAACATATTCATGCAGTGTTTTGAGAAGTCGAAAGTGCTAGGCGCACAGGCTTTCGTGAGACAGTCAGGGTACTCATTTCCAGGCTGAACTCGGCTGCAAGAGAGGGAAGGTACTTTCCCGCGCGCAGCGCAGCACTTGGGAAGACTCACACAGGGTTACGTGACCTGGCAAGACAGGGAAAGGAGGAAATGACCTCTGTTTATCTTTCTTCCTACTGCCCCGTCCTTCCCCCTCCCTCTTTCCTTCCTCCCCTCCCAGCCCTCACGGTGACTCCTGGTGGCTGCAGGGATACATCGGGACCTCTTATCAGGGTGAAATGTGTTCTGCGAGGTGGTGCAATTTGAAGTTCTACTTTATCACAGGGGCCTCTCTCCTCTTTTCCTAGGCGGGACAGGCACAAGAAGGAGCAATGGGGTTAAGTGGACAAGAAGGAATGGTGGTTAAGCGCCTAAGGTAACAGATTGGAGTCATCTTGAATCACAGATGACCAGCGGTGAAGACCACCTGGTACAATGATGGTCCCTCTTGTTAAGGAAGAAGCAGTGAAAAACTGTGAAAGGTAAACCGGCATCAAATTTTAGACTCGGGGGCTTCCCTGGTGGCGCAGTGGTTGAGAGTCCGCCTGCTGATGCAGGGGACGCGGGTTCGTGCCCCGGTCCGGGAAGATCCCACATGCCGCGGAGCGGCTGGGCCCGTGAGCCATGGCCGCTGAGCCTGCGTGTCCGGAGCCTGTGCTCCGCAACGGGAGAGGCCACAACACTGAGAGGCCCGCGTACCGCAAAAAAAAAAAAAATTTTAGACTCAAGTTAGAGCCCTGGTTTTCTGTGTCCCCCATAGTTCATTCACCCATTTACACACACTGCTTTGGGGGACCCATTATATACTGCCAGGTACAAGGGGTCTGCCTCAGTAAGCAGGGAAAGGGGAAAGGAAAATAGGAATTCAGGACTCCCAGGTAGTTTGTGCAGCTTCACGGATGGTGATACCATTTACTGTGATAGCAAGTAAAGGAGTAGAAACTGGTCTGAGAGGAAGATGGCGCGTTTTGAATATATATTTTAATGTGCCTATGGAACTTCCAGGGAAGACAGCCAGGAGGCAGTCAGGAGCGTAGGTGCCAAGCGTGGGAGAGAAGCCCGGAGATGCCCACTGGGAAAGGGTCGACACAGGTAGTCACTGAAGCTGGGGCGGGGCTGAGATGACCCAGAGAGAGCAGGCAGACGGAGAAGATCATGGGATGGATGAGAACTGAACAGTGGCACACACCAGCTTCTACGGATCAAATAGGGATCCTGAGGAGGGAGCAGAGGAGTGAGAAGAAAACTGGAAAAAAAGTGGCATCAAACAGTCCAAATGAAGAGATTATCCAGGCTCAGGAGGTGGTTGGGAGTGGGAAATGACACAGAGGGGTTCAGTGCACTAGTCCTGGAATGTGCCTGTTGATCTCAACAATGAGGAAGTTATTGACGCGTGTGACTCCAGTTTCTCTGGGGACATGAGAGCAGAAACCAAGCCATGGTGGGTTAGAAGTCAATGGAGTCCGGACAGAGGAGCAGCAGTGGTAGTAGATATGGCCCACTGCTGCAGGAGAGTTGGTTGGCAGGCAAGGGGAAGTTACAACTGGGCGTGAGTTGTTTTTTTTTTGATTGTTCGTTTGTGTGTTTGTTTGGGCCGAGCTGCAGGGCATGTGGGATCTTAGTTCCCCAACCAGGGATGAACCCCGCGCCCCCAGCCCCTGCAGTGGAAGCTCATTGTCGTAACCACTGGACTGCCAGGGAAGTCCCTGGGTGTGAGTTTTTTGTCGTTGTCTTTTTTGCTATGGGAAACTGAAACATGTTTAAAGGCTAAGGAGAAGCAGGAAGGGTTAATAGGATGGGGTCTCAGTAGAGCCTCCACAGGGGTGAACGGGAGGAGAGGTGATTCTGAACCTAGATAACCCAAAGGAAAGATTCCTCTCTCTTCGTTCTTTTCCTTCTACCGTATGAGAGGAAGCAATGCACTTGCAAGGTTTAGGAATGGACTTGGGGAATTCTTCAAAACCAGGTTCGTCCTTGTCAGGTTCTAGCCATGGCAGCAATCTGACCATCAAATGCATTTAACCAGCCCCACTTGCATGTGAAGCTGGGCCGAATGCTACACAACCATGTGAAATAGCTGCTGCTATTCCCGCGTCAGTCAGGACTCCAAGTAGCAAGTGACTGAAACCCAGCTCTAACCAGCTAAACCCAAAATGGAATCCACTGGTTTGCTAAACTGGGCTACTGGCTTCAGGCATGGTTAGGTTAGGGTGCTTGAAAGATGTTGTCAGAAGGCATAGGGATTATGTTTTGAAGTTATTAGCGTGCTTTTCTCTTTTGCCTTTCAGAGCATATGAATCTAGTCTACTCAAGTTTGGAGGAGGGGATGAAGATTCTTTCCAGAAGGTATGCAAAGAGAAAGAAAAAGTAACACTCAGCTTCTGACATTCAAAAATAGAGTTTGTAGCAAAATGAGAGCCCTGTCATCCAAGCTCTTACCTTGAGAAAATAGCCTCTGCATTCCATTACCTTCCTCTTTAGAAGATCAAGGACTGGGTTTGGTAGACTAAACCTTGGGTTTTATATATGAGACGTCCAGACAGAGGGAGAAAGGGGGATTGTGGAAGGACAGAAGCAGCAGCACAAGACCAGAGGCCTGGGAGGAGCAACTGTGGTGGAAAAGTAATGATTAGCCCCACAGGCATGGGAAGACCCTGTCCCCTGCCACGGTTCCAGAAGTATGAGAGGGAGAGCCTGGGTAGCCTGATTTTGGTCTGACAGAGGGAGGCCCACAATGGACTTTTTAAGCTATGCTAGGTCCCCGTGTAGCTTGGACCTACCCAGATGTAGCAGCAAGTCTGTGGCCAGCTTACCAGGGTGATCACTGTGGTGGGGTGACACAGTGGTACAGGCTGCAGGGTGGACCCCTGGGACCAGGACTGATAGGAATTCATGGCCAGAAGTCAGAAGCACCTGGAAGATCAAAGAAGAGGCTACATCAGCCAGGGAGCACTGCCTCAGACTTGGGGATCGACTACAAACTCGCCATCCACAGACAGCACATCAGAGGCTGGCAGCACACCCAGTCCAGGCAAAAAGTGGACCTTGTTCTGACATGCACAGACACTGGGCAGCTATACTCAAGGGTGCGTGCAAGGCCAGGAGTTCCCTTTCTCTCAACACCATGAGGATGCAGAAGCACAGTCCCTCCTTCTACCCCCACTGCATATACCCTACAGGGATGATGGCCAAAACATTTAAAAATCTTACAGGCTCAGACATTGACCAGTCAGAATGGAGTGCCCTGCTGTGTCCAGGATTAACGTTTTCACTGATGGATTGTGGGGAGCTTAGGGAAAAGTCCCAGGGAGGGGGCAGTGGGAGGTGCTTAGGGAATTCAAGGCAGCACCTGCTTACCAGCTGCTCCAGGTATATCTCAGTATTTTATCAGCAAGGTCAGCCATAATGAAGGGTACAGGTGAATGTTGGCCAGACACCATCATCTTTATTGGTGGAGCAGGAGATGGGGGAGGCCATCTGAGAAACTGAGCATGTTCTCAAAGAGGATATTGGAATTATTGGATTGCACCAAGATTTAAACCGGTTTCAACCCCTACTAACCAGTGGAGGGCCAAATTGATTATGGGTAAGCTAGAGAAATTACGTTTGTTGTTACATCCAAGTTGCAGTGTGAGTTGAATTTACCATCTGTCTGCTTTCCTTTGTGTTGCCTTCAGTCTCAGGCAGCAGCTCCAAGTGTTAGCAATCCCAAAAGGGAAAGCACACCTTTTTCAATAGCACCAGCAACAATCCCAAATCAGATTCCTATTGGCCCGGCTTTACTCGTGTCCCTGCTTCTGAGTCAATTCCTGATTGGCCAAGCCTAGGTCACATGACTATTCCTAACCTCTGGAACTGAGAGTGGGGTGGGGCATGGCTCCCCCCGAAACAATCTGGATGCTGTTAGCAGAAATGCCGTACTGGTTGTTATGTAAGCAGGCACAACAGAGGAACACCACTCTGCCTTCTGGGGTTTAACTTTCTAGAACTCTCAGGGACAAATGGAGTCTTTCCACAGCATGAAGTGAACTGGCACCTGTACACTTATCCATAAACTGTGATCAGCATAGATAACTAATGTTGAAAATCATAGGACTTCCCTGGATGTGCAATGGTTAAGAATCCGCCTGCCAATGCAGGAGACATGGGTTCAATCCCTGGTCCAGGAAGATCCCACGTGCCGCGGAGCAACTGAGCCCATGCACCACAACTACTGAGCCTGTGCTCTAGAGCCCGCGAGCCACAACTACTGAAGCCCGCACGCCCTAGAGCCCGTGCCACAACTACTGAAGCCCGTGTGCTCTAGGGCCCACGTGCCGCAACTGTTGAGCCCGCATGCTGCAACTCCTGAAGCCCACAAGCCTAGAGCCCGTGCTCCACAACACGAGAAGCCACCATAGTGAGAAGCCCACACACTGCAACAAAGAGTAGCCCCCGCTTGCTGCAGCTAGAGAAAGCCTGCGTGCAGCAGTGAAGACCCAACGCAGCCAAAAATAAATTTAAAAAAAAAGAAAATCATAAAGCAGAATTTTTCTCTTCTTAAATTTTTTTACCACACTGACTAAATTAATTTCTGATCATTGAATTTGAGGAATATAATCAATTAAATGTCCAGTCTGGTTTAAAACTTAGTACTATTTAGTATCCATGAAGAGTTCCATTTAGAAATTGTTTGGTCTCTCCTCTTTTGGATGTGACAACAACTGTCTTACTTTTTCTCTGTGTCTTATTTCCCCTTTTGAAAGTAAATCACCCTCTCCTAAATCCAAGAGAAACTGGATAATTAGTTGTTGCCTGTTTTTTGTTTTTTTTAGAAAAAAGCTTTTTGTAATAAATACGAAGTTTAATTATTCCAAGAGAGATAGTAAAGACAACATCAGCTTTTCCTCACAGACTTTTATTTTCAGTATCATAAAACACTCCACATTATTTTTTTAAAAAAAATCGGCCCTCAATAAAAGGAGATATTTAAGGTCTAGGGAGAGAAAACATAGCCATCAGTTTTACTCTAAAATTTATGCTGTGTCTTTTTTGAAAGGAGGGATATCTTAAAATTTACAGTATATAAAACTTAAATCTGGGCTTCCCTGGTGGCGCAATGGTTGAGAGTCCGCCTGCCAAGGCAGGGGACACGGGTTCGTGCCCCGGTCCGGGAAGATCCCACATGCCACGGAGCGGCTGGGCCCGTGAGCCATGGCCGCTGAGCCTGCACGTCCGGAGCCTGTGCTCTGCAACGGGAGAGGCCACGTCAGTGAGAGGCCCACGTACCGCAAAAAAAAAAAAAAAAAAAAAAAAAAAAAAAAAAACTTAAATCTCAGAATTGAAAAACTCGTTGGAAAAATAAAATCATTAATCACAATAAAGGAGAAATAAACTCATCCTGCCCTGGCATTTTGAGTTACATAATTAATTCAGAAGGGGCTGCCTTTCTCACGTGGCATCCAGGCATTCATCAAATATCTATCACAGGCTTCATAGCTTCTCTGCACTGTGCCGGGCACTGGGGTGTAAAGGTGGGTAAGACAGCTCATGTCTGGGAAGGAGAGATGGTGCCGCTGGGTCGGGGTATGACAGGCTTAGGGGGTGCAGGAACAGAGGGGACAGTCCCTTTTTCAGCAGGGTGGATGGCTGAGTCCAGCCAGGTTAAGAAGCTGCCGGAAGGCTTTGCCTTTCCCACACCCAGTGCAGTGCTGGGAAGCCCTGGTAGACGTTTTATTGCCCCGGCTATGATGGAGCAGGCGTAGAAATCCTCTTTGGCAGCCCTGAGGCAGCTGGCCTCTGTGACAGCTGAGAAACGAGAGCTCCTGGCCTTCCCAGCGCCGCGGTGTATGCGCTCGGGTGCTGCCTGCCAAGCCCGCGGGCGTTCCACTCCTCCGTTCCACAGAGAGTTATTGAGCACCCACCATGGGCCAGGTGCTCAAGCAAAGCAGCCTCAGGTCTCAGGGAGCTCACTTCTCTACTTGGAGAGGGGGACCCATAGCATATCAGAATGGTGATAAGGGCTATGGAGAAAAAGAAAGAATGGGAGGACCAGGAATGTGAGGTGGGGGGTATGTGGTATAAAATAAGGTCTTTAAGAAGTCCAACTGAAGACTCAGTCCCCCCTACCCTCACCCCTGCATTAACTGAGCACCCAAGAGCCGTGGCTGCTGGTACATTAGGAGCCCACCAAAGAAAGTGACAAGTCCCCTGACCCCAGGAAGTGGCCAGCTCAGGAGGCCAGGCTGGTGTGCGTCCCCTCCCTCCCAAAAAAGAGTTTCCTCATCTGATGAGTGGAGCTGGTACAGCCCAAGTCTAGGGCAGGCAAGAGAGTTCAAGCTTGGGGAGGAAATGGGGGTCAGGAGAAGGTTTGTTTAGATGGAGGCAGGTCCCCTGGCAGCATCTTGGGAAAAAGAGACATCCAGCTCCCCAAGAAGAGCTTTGGCAAGGCCACAATAGAAAATCGAGGTCCTGGGCCAAGAGGGCTGGGGCCAGGACTGGGTGTGGATCCCTGCTGGGAACTGGAGTGTCAATGAGGAAGGGGGGCAGACGCCAGGTCATTGGAATGGGCTGGGAGGGACAGCTGTGTTAGTGTGAGCACATGGGGGCACAGGCCCCACCCCTCTGGGCACCAGGCTACACTGGGGACAGAATGAGGAGAACTCAGGGTCAGGACCTTTATGCTGGAGCAGAGGGTTGGTGTAGGGTGGCCAAGTTGCAGGGGCTTCGGGAACCGAGCGAGGGGTTTGTGTTTTTCTCAGATCTGCTAACCCTGGCTAAGGCTGACCTGCTTGTTCTCTCATCTGTATAAGCACCACGGTACTTTTAACCACGAGCCAAATAACATGGAGATAAATTATGAGTCTGATGGGAGGGAGCTAAGAGGGTGAAATGGCAAGGAATCCCCAGCTTTTTATGTTGAAAGCATAAATCCAAATAGAAACCAAGCAGAAAGAGACTGAAGTCTCCGGGGAGGAGAAAAGTACGTACAGTAAACACTGACCGGCACAGTGTGCCCTGCTGTAGGGACGCCAGGGTCAGAACAGCGTGTCACGTTGCCACTTTGATCATGGGATTTGGATCAGAGAGAACATGAGATTTGGACTTTGCGCTGGGTTTGGCTGTTTGCCGCCTGTTGGCTGCACGACCTTGGGTAAGTTCCTTTCCCCTCTGAGCCTTCCTTTCTTCATTGGTGTAGCTGGAGCCTGCACTGGGATTCAGTCCCATCTGCTGAGCTAGTGGGGAAACCCCAGGGGTCGGAGTGGCTGCCAGGAGCCCAGTATGGTGAGCTCGCCAAGGGGCAAAGCATGCAGGTCCAAGAAGGGAGTAGGTTTGAGTACACTGTGCTAACAGCGGCCAATCTATCCTGGGTCCTACCCCAAGTCTGATCCCCGGGCAAAGCCGTCTCTAAAAGCTAACAGATTGTTTGCAGAGGTACAAGCTCACCATAATGGGGACCCCAGAAACGAGCATAGGGAGAAAGGCATCTTCTCCACGGTGCAGTCTTGCCTGGACGAAGAGGCAGAGCAGGGAAAGGGGTGGGACCTGGCACCCAGCCATGGATTTGTTGGTGAGAACAGGTAAGACGTCTTCCCCCAGGGGCCCCCCGAATGTACAGGAGGGAAGGCGCCTTGCTGGGATTAAGTTCCGTGTAAGAGATGGTGGTAACAAACTAATATCTGGATTATGAGTCCTGGTGTGGCTTCCTTTGCCGCACACGTGGTGAAGGCATCTTGGTTAATACCTATCCCTGGAGATTGCACAAGCTGTCCCCGGGCCTGAGCCTGGACACGGCGAATGCACAGCGAATGTCAGATTCTCTGCAGACACCACCTAGAGACCCTTGGGCCCCTTGGAGGACGGTTTGGGATGACCCCTGGGGCGTTGGAGTGTTGCACGGCATTCCTATGGCAAAGGTTTGTCATCGAAACGTAACCTAACGTGTATTTTTGAGCACCTGCTGTGTGCCAGTGAGGTATACGTGCTAAGAGGGGTTTGAATTCTTTTTTTTCTCAGCACTTTACAAAATACTCTGACATGCATTTTATTCACATTGGTCTTTATAACAACCTAACGAGGTAGGATCCCCATTTACAGACGGGAAGACTGAGTTTCAAAGAGGCTAAGTAATTTACCCATAATAACCCAACTAATAAGGGGTGTAGCGGGGCTCAAACCCGCCCTTTCTTAGGTGGGAAGCTGAGACCAAAGAGATGAAGGAATGAGGGGAAAACGCAGAAAATAATAAAAGCTGAGGTTCTGATGGGAAGAGCTGGAGAAGTCAGCGGGGACTGGAGCTGGACCTGACCAGGGGTGGACGGCGGGGGATGGTGTGTAGGATGGAGGCCGCGTGCGGGGATGGCTGGGCTCCCGGGGACCTTGCCTGTGCCCCTGGAGCTGCCCCCGACTTATCACACTTCACAGAGAATTCTTAAGGAAGCTTTCAAGAGGAAACTGCAGCTGCTCACTCCTGCCAAGTGTCTTTGCTCCTGTCTTTCTGTCTGAGCGTACAAACCACCTCTCCACTTCAGCGACTGCTGGCCTTGGGCTCTGTATACTGATCATTTCTAATTTTTCCTGGAGGATTATTTATGACCTTCTAAAAGCAAAACCACATACTGAAATGTGCCAATATTAGAACATTAGTAAGCCAGAAATGACGCTCATTTCAAATAGCGGGGGAAAGGGAGAGACGTGAAAAGGAATGCGCCTCTATGGGTCAGACTCTGTGCTGGCAACTGTGACATTCATGATCTCTTTCAATATTCACTACTATGCAATGTGGAAGGTCGTATCAATTCCACTTTGGCAGCCGAGGAAACATTCAGAGAAGTGCTGTAACTTGGCCAAAGTCACGCAGCTAATAAGTGTCAAACCTATGATTTGAATCCAGGTCTGACTTCCAATAAACCACAATTTACAGCCTGTGGAATTCAGGTGGAATCAAGAGAGGATGAATAAATACAGTTTACTGGACAGTAAAACTCTTGACCCTTTTTATTAATTCAAGTTTACAAACAATGCAGTTTCAAAATTACCAGCTTCCAGAGAGTTCTTAAATCAGTGAAGTACTCAGAATTCATGAAATCCCAACAATTAGAGCTTGACACTGCCTGAGATGCCACTAGAGGACCCGACACGGAGATGACCGATTCTACCTATGAACTTTCAGTTTTGAGAGTGTCCTATCAAAAACGAGGCCCCTGTTGCACTGGGTAGAGGATATGGTAGAGATTCTCCGATAAACCTGATTTCTTTAAACGCTGTTTAGGACATGTGCCAAAGCTTGACACATCCTAATCACTTTACTTTCTTTGGCAGCTCCAACCTTGACGAGAGAGTAGGAAATACGTCTCCGCTTTGACAGGAACAATGTGTGACATGAAAGACCTCAGATGCTGTGCAGGTTTGTGACGGTTCTTCAGAAGAAAGCATCCCCTGCCTGTTCTGTTCAATGCCAGTCCAGGTGAGTCACTGCCAGCCAAGCAGGTATTTTAAGACATGAGGAATCTAAGCCAGAACCAGCAAAGAAAGGTGAAGGATGGGTTATCGCCATTCGCTTTGATGGTTGTCATGGTGCTGGGAAAACCTTTTCTGGTTAGGGTCCGGCTCACCGCTGTTTTGCTAGTGGCCACCCAGACACGGGTGTGGGACCGGGCGTGTGCACACACACCTGCAGCCGACACCCACTCTAGAGGCTCACGTTGGTTGGGTCTTGGTTAATCGGCTGTGCTCGTGCGAATGGTAAATCCGCGCCCGACATCAGCTTGCAGGGAGCCAGCGTGACCCCGCCTCCCGCGACATCACTGGGTGTTTTGGAGCAGAGTCCGCGGATGCAGGAACTACCTCACTCTCTGCTCCCTGCTTCAGCATGTGGCTCTGGAAAATGCCCCATCGCTGTCTCTTAAATAGGATCCAAGGCTCAGGTCTTCTGCTAATCTGAGGGACAAGGGAAAGCTTCCAGGTCTCCAGGAGCTGGGGAAAGGGGCAGGGGTGCTGCGCACGGGAAATGACTGGAGCCCGAGGTCAGGCTGCACCCTGGCGCTGCCTGGGAGGACAGCCTCCCCTGCTGGCACCTACGCTGCAAAGCTCTGCCTGTCTGCGCTGAAGAGGACCCCGAGGCTCTGAGTGGGAAAGTAGGCTCTATGTTGCCCTGTAGGACGACCCACACTATAGGAGCCATCAGGATGCACTGTGCTCTCCCCTCCAACTTCCCATAGGGCTGCCCCTCTCTCTCCAGCTCCTCTTTCACCCATTTTTGGGGTGGGGTGTCAGAGGTGGGGGCGGGTGGGGATGGGGTGGGAGCTACCAGGCTACCTGGCTCTTCCTGAATCTCTTTAATTAAACTAAGCCTTTATATGAATGTAAAACACAAGCAAGCTCCGTACCTGGGGCCTGCAATCCCCTCCCCCAGATTCTGACTCACAGGCTAGGGGGCAGCCTTATTTTATTAAGGGCCCAAGTGACTGGACTCTAGGTGATCCCGGACCTCACTTCGAAAAACACTGGGGCAGGCATGAGCCAGCCTGTGTATGGGGTACAGCTAGTGTGAGAGGTAAATTCATCTAGTGTCTTAAAAGAGTGGCAGGGGCTGAATTGTGATCCACACCCCCACATTCATTTATTGAAGTCCTAACCCCTGGGACCTCAGAATGTGACTGTATTTGGAGACAGAGACTTTAAAGAGATAATTAAGTTAAAATAAGGTCTTTAAATGAGCCCTAATCCAATATGACTGGTGTCCTTATAAGAAAACGAGATTAGGACACAGGCACGCACAGAGGGAAGGCCATGTGAGGACACAGGGAGAAGGCAGCCATCTGTAAGCTAGAGAGGGGCCTCAGAAAAAAAAACCTGCAGACACCTTGATCTCAGACTTCCAGCCTCCAGAACCGTGGGAAAATAAATCTCTGTTGTTTAAGCCACCCTGTCTGTGGTACTTTATTACGGCAACCCTACCAAACTAATACAAATAGGAGACCTGGTTTCACTGAATAATCCTCTCAGGAGGTAGAGTGCTTCAGCTTACTGTATAAACAAGGCTAGCTTTAAGGACCAAAGGACATGAGTCCCAGCCCTGGTGTGTCAGAGGTGGCTCAGGCTACACAGAAAGCACAGCTTCCAGCGTCAGACATGCCTGCACTCAGTGGCCAGAACCTTCTCTCCTGGTTACCACCTGAGTGGTTTAAACAAGACAGTCATTATTTTTTTATTATTTTATTTAAAATATACGCACATCGTGCTTACTATGTACCAGGTAATGTTCTAAGCACTGTGCAAATATTAACTCATTTAATCCTCATTACAATCCTGTGATAGATAGATAGACAGACACACAGACAGCAGGTTCATGATCACTTAATTCAAAATATTCAGGACTTCTTTCTCTAGTTGCTTTAGATGTAGGGTTAGGTTGTTTATTTGAGATTTTTCTTGAGGTGAGACTGAATTGCTATAAACTTTCCTCTTAGAACTGATTTTGCTGCATCCCATAGGTTTTGGGTCATCGTGTTTTCATTGTCATTTGTTTCTATGTATCTTTTTATTTCCTCTTTGATTTCTTCAGTGAACAGGACCAGTAGGAAGAAGAACAAAGAAAACCCAAAGTCAGAAATCATAAAGAACAGAGCAGAAATAAATGAAATAGAAATGAAGAAAACAATAGCAAAGATCAATAAAACTAAAAGTTGGTTCTTTGAGAAGATAAATAAAACTGATAAAGCCTTAGCCAGACTCATCAAGAAGAAAAGGGAGAGGATGCAAATCAATAAAATGAGAAATGAAAAAGGAGAAATGACAACTGACATCACAGAAATACAAAGGATTATAAGAGACTACTACAAACAACTATATGCCAATAAAATGGACAACCATGAAGAAATAGACAAATTATTGGAAAGGTACAGTTTTCCAAGACTGAACCAGGAAGAATTAGAAAATATAAACAGACCTATCACAAGTAATGAAATTGAAATTGTAATTAAAAAGCTTCCAACAAACAAAGATCCAGGACCATATGGCTTCACAGGTGAATTCTATCAAACATTTAGACAAGAGCTAACACCCATCCTTCTCAAACTCTTCCAAAAAATTGCAGAGGGAGGAACACTCCCAAATTCATTCTACGAAGCCACCATCACCCTGATACCAAAACCAGACAAAGATATCACCAAAAAAAGAAAATCATAGACCAATATCACTGATGAACATAGGTGCAAAAATCCTGAAAAAATACTAGCAAACAGAATCCAACAGCACATTAAAAGGATCATACACCATGATCAAGTGGGATTTATCCCAGGGATGCAAGGATTCTTCAATATATGCAAATCAGTCAATGCGATACACCATATTAACAAATTTAGGAATAAAAAACATATGATCATCTCAATAGATGCAGAAAAAGCTTTTCACAAAATTCAACACCCATTATGATAAAAACTCTCCAGAAAGTGGGCACAGTGGGAAGCTACCTCAACATAATAAAGGCCTTATATGACAAACCCACAGCAAACATCATACTCAATGGTGAAAAACTGAAAACGTTTCTACTAAGATCAGGAACAAGACATGGATGTCCACTCTCGCCACTTTTATTCAACAAAGTTTTGGAAGTCCTAGCCACGGCAAGCAGAGAAGAAAAAGAAATAAAAGGAATCCAATTGGAAAAGAAGAAGTAAAACTGTCACTGTTTGCAGATGACATGATACTATACGTAGAAAATCCTAAGATGCCACCAGAAAACTACTAGAACTAATCAATGAATTCGGTAAGGTTGCAGGATACAAAATTAACGCACAGAAATTTCTTGCGTTCCTATACACTAACAAGGAAAAATCAGAAAGAGAAATTAAGGAAACAGTCCCATTTACAATTGCAACCAAAAGAATAAAACACCTAGGAATAAACCTACTTAAGGAGGTGAAAGACCTGTACTCAGAAAATTATAAAACACTGATGACAGAAATCAAAGATGACATAAACAGATGGAGAGATATACCATGTTCTTGGATTGGAAGAATCAATATTGTGCAAATGACTCTACTACCCAAAGCAATCTACAGATTCAGTGCAATCCCTATCAAACTACCAATGGCATTCTTCACAGAATTAGAACAAAAAAATTTTACAATTTGTATGGAAACACAAAAGACCCCGAATAGCCAAAGCAATCTTTTTTTCTTTAATAAATTTATTTATTTATTTATTTATGGCTGCGTTAGGTCTTTGTTGCTGCGTGCAGTCTTTCTCTAGTTGTGGCGAGTGGGGGCTACTCTTCATTGTGGTGTGTGGGCTTCTCATTGTGGTGGCTTCTCGTTGTGGAGCACGGGCTCTAGGCATGCAGGCTTCAGTAGTTGTGGCACTCGGGCTCAGTAGTTGTGACTCATGGGCTCTAGAGCACAGGCTCAGTAGTTGTGGCATACAGGGTTAGTTGCTCCATGGCATGTGGGATCTTCCCAGACCAGGGCTCAAACCCATGTCCCCTGTATTGGTAGGCAGATTCTTATCCACTGCATCACCAGGGAAGCCCAAGCCAAAGCAATCTTGAGAAAGAAAAACAGTGCTGGAGGAATCAGGCGCCCCAGCTTCAAACTATACTACAAAGCTACAGTAATCAAGAGAGTGTGGTACTGGCACAAAAACAGAAATATAGATCAGTGGTACAGGATAGAAAACCCATAGATAAACCCATGCACATATGGTCACCTAATTTACAACAAAGGAGGAAAGAACAAACAGTGGAGAAAAGACAGCCTCTTCAATAGGTGGTGCTGGGAAAACTGGACAGCTACATGTAAAAGAATGAAATTAGAACACTACCTAACACCATACACAAAAATAAACTCCAAATGGGTTAAAGACCTAAATGTAAGACAAGATACTATAAAACTCTTAGAGGAAAATATAGGCAGAACACTCCATGACATAAACCACTGCCAGATCTTTTTTGACTCACCTCCTAGAGTAACAAAAATAAAAACAAAAATAAACAAATGGGACCTAATTAAAGTTAAAAGCTTTTGCACAGCAAAGGAAACCATAAACAAGATGAAAAGACAAACTTCAGAATGGAAAAAAATATTTGCAAATGAAACAACAGCCAAAGGATTAATCTCCAAAACATACAAACAGCTCATGGAGCTCAATATCAAAAAAACAAACAACCCAATCCAAAAGTGGTCAGTCGACCTAAATAAACATTTCACCAAAGAAGACATACAGATGGCCAAGAGGCACATGAAAAGATGCTCAACATCACTAGTTATTAGAGAAATGCAAATCAAAACTACAATGAGGTATCATCTCACACCAGTCAGAATGTCCATTATCAAAAAATCTAGAAACAATGCTGGAAAGGGTGTGGTGAAAAAGGAACCCTTCTGCACTGTTGGTAGGAATATAAATTGATACAACCACTATGGAGAACAGTATGGAGGTTCCTTAAAAAACTAGGGCTTCCCTGGTGGTGCAGTGGTTGAGAGTCCGCCTGCCGATGTAGGGGACACAGGTTCATGCCCCGGTCCGGGAAGATCCCACATGCCGCAGAGCGGCTGGGCCCGTGAGCCATGGCCGCTGAGCCTGCGCGTCCGGAGCCTGTGCTCCACAACGGGAGAGGCCATAACAGTGAGAGGCCCGCGTACCGCAAAAAAAAAGAAAAAAAAAAAACTAAACTAAAAATAGAACTACCATATGACCCAGAAATCCCACTACTGGGAAAACCATAATTCAAAAAGAGACATGTACCACAATGTTCATTGCTACACTATTTACAATAGCCAGGACATGGAAGCAACCTAAATGTCCATTGACAGAGGAATGGATAAAGAAGATGTGGCACATATATACAGTGGAATATTACTCAGCCATAAAAAGAAACGAAACTGAGTTATTTGTAGTGAGGTGGATGGACCTAGAGTCTGTCATACAGAGTGAAGTGAGTCAGAAAGAGAAAAACAAATATGTATGTTATTTTTGTATACTATGTATGTATATAGTAAAGTCTTATGTATTTTAACACATATATATGGAATCTAAAAAAAAAAAGTGGTACTGATGAACCTAGTGGCAGGGCAGGAATAAAGACATAGACATAGAGAGAGAGTGGAGTTGAGGGCACGGTGGGGAGGAGGAAGCTTGTTGAAGTGAGAGTAACATCGACATATATACACCACCAAATGCAAACTAGATAGCCAGTGGGAAGCAGCCGCATAGCACAGGGAGATCAGCTTGGTGTTTTGTGACGACCTAGAGGGGTGGGAGGGAGGCTCAAGAGGGAGGGGGTATGGGGATATATGTATGCATATGGCTGATTCACTTTGTTGTACAACAGAAACTAACACAGCATTGTGAAGCAATTATACTCCAGTAAAGATGTATCCAAAAAAAAATATTCAAGGCCAGCAGTGTTTGGTGTGTCAGAACTTGGGGACTTGAGAAAGCAAATGCATTGCATGTACTGTAGGCTGCATAATATCCTGTAGCATCTGTGACAGCATCCTGTAATCAAACGTACTCATATTTCTGTAGTGAGATGTATAGAGTGCATAAATAAAGTAGCCTCATATAACTCAAGACAGGTTTCTCTAGCAAATGAGTTTATTTCAGATCAGGTTTTGCTGCCAAATGAGTTATACATTTTGGCATTCGGAACTTTGAAGGTTTTGAAATTATATTCTCCCTGTTTCTTCAGATGAAGACACTGAGGCACAGGGAGGTGAAACAGTGTCCCACATTCGTTAACTCACGGGAGGTGAGGCTGGGCCACCAACCCGGGCAACCTGGCTCCAGACTCCAAGCTCTTCACGGCCACCTGGCTGTGCCCCTCGGTGCTGCCCACTTCTCGAGCAGGGCCTGACCCATCCGTAGAATACAGATCATGCCAACCTTGCAGCCTTGCTCTGAGGACCAGATACAATGTAAGTAGAGTTCTGTTATAGGTTGAATTGTGTCCCTCCCCCTGCCAAATTCATTTGTTGAAGCTTTAACCCCAGTACCTCTGAATATAACCTTATATGGAAATAGGGTCATTGCAGACACAGTTAGTTAAATGAAGGTGAGGTCATTAGGGTGGGCCCTAATTCAATCTGACCTGTGTCCTTATTTAAAAAAAGAAATTTGGACACAGACAGGCATGTGCTCAGGGAGAACGCCAGGTGAATATGAAAGCAGAGGTCAGGGTGATGCTTCCACAAGCCAAGGAATGCCCGAGATTGCCGGCAAAGCACTGGAAGCCAGGAGAGAGAGGCATGAAACGGCTTCTCTCAGTAAGCGCTCAGAAGGAACCAATTCTGCCAACACCTTGATCTCAAACTTGTAGCCCCCAGAACCGTGAGACAAATTGCTGTTGTTCAAGCCTCCCCCCCCCCCCCCCCCCAGTTTGTGGTACCTTGTTACAGCCACCCTAGCAAGCTCGTACAGGTTCTTTACACAAGCACTGGGTTCCGAGTGGGAGGCCAATAAATGGTAGGTAACCAGGCTTACTATATTTTTAATATTTATTTATTTATTTAATTTTGGCTGCATTGGGTCTTAGTTGCGGCACGCGGGCTCTTTTGTTGAGGTGCGCAGGCTTCTCTCTAGTTGTGGAGGTTTTCTCTCTCTTGTCGTGCGGGTTTTCTCTCTCTAGTTGTGACACGCGGGCTCCAGGGCACATGGGCTCTCTACTTGTGGCATGCGGCCTTAGTTGCCCCATGGCACATGGGATCTTAGTTCCCTGACCAGGGACTGAACTGGCATCCCCTGCATTGCAAGACGGATTCTTAACCACTGGACCACCAGGGAAGTCCCCACTCTTATTATTTTTATGATGGAGGCTTCAGATTCTTCACAGAAAAATAATCAGTCAGTTAGATGATCTCTAAGGCCTCTTCCACTTTCCAGGTCTAATTTTACATGATTATCCCACGAGGATAATTCAACTCCGCTTGTCACTTGCACCAATGGTCCAGGTCTTATAGCATTTCTTTGCTGTTTTAAAGATGGGAGAGGTGGTCTTAATAAGCAAAACAAAACAAAACGACGCAAGGAATTTCTCTTCCTGTGTTACGGGTTACATCCCTATACATTACAACTGAAACCCCTGAGCCCTAACTTGCCTTCTGATGTCCCTGCTTGTATCATCAACTCACTCAGCCGTGGGGTTTTTCTGAATCCCTTTCCCTTGTGTCTTTGGGGCTGCCGAGGTTAACCCACAGTGTGTGCTGGGCTACAAATTCTGCAGAGGAAAGCAGAAATCTAAGGTAGAGGTTGTTTCCTGTCAGTTAAGAGTGTATCATTGGAACCTATTTAGACCTGGAAAGTTTGGGTTCTTCAGGTGGAAATGTGTCCTCACACTGCCATGTCACTGAGCAGATAAAAGCTGCTTTAAGAGAGTCTAAAAGCTGTCGAACACTTTTTCTCTTCCTAGGACAAGGCACCGTTGGCCCCAGTGTAGGGAAAGAGGTAAAATGCTAAACAGTTTTCCTTAGGCTGCAGTGACAGGCCCCCCATTGTCAGAGCTGCCACATGGTATGCGGGATCCTTAGTCTCCCCGACCAGGGATCGAACCTGTGCCTCCTGCAGTGAAAGCACGGAGATTTAACCACTGGACCGCCAGGGAAGTCCCCCTCTGCCTTTTAGATTCTACACATCAAGTCAGAAAGTGATTTGCTGTAGGTGGGGTGTGGCCCCCTAGTCCCCATCTGTGGAAATAGGACTTTAATGGCTGTGCATGTTCAGAGAAGGGACTTCAGGTTCCTTTGGCATCCCTTTGCACCTGTTCTCAAGGCTGCCTCTCCGACGCCCTGTCAGCCCCTGAGCCTTGGGCCAGGGGGCTGCTTCCCACTGGTTTCCTGGAAGCACTTCCTGACCAGGCCAGGGGGCCTCTCTCACCTCCCTGCAGCCCAGGCGCCATCCTAGAGCCAGGAGTGGCTTTAATATCTGCTTAAGTCTTTTCATCTTTTTTTTTTTTTTTTCGGTACGCAGGCCTCTCACTGCTGTGGCCTCTCCCGTTGCGGAGCACAGGCTCCGGACGCGCAGGCTCAGCGGCCATGGCTCACGGGCCCAGCCGCTCCGCGGCATGTGGGATCTTTCCGGACCGGGGCACGAACCCGTGTCCCCTGCATCGGCAGGCGGACTCTCAACCACTGCGCCACCAGGGAAGCCCCCAAGTATTTTCATCTTTGCTGCCTGTTACTGGTTACCCTCCCAGGAAGTTGAGGAGAAGCGTACCTTTTCTTATCATAGCTGCAGCCTGCTGGAGTTCTGTTGGGATACGAAAATGCTTGCAGAGTGGGAGGTTTTACTTTGAGGATCTCATGGTTGGTGATTCCATCCAACACCAAAATGGGAGATTTAATTAAGCAAGAGTAAGTGCCTAATAGATGGAACATCTCCGAAGTGGAGACCACACCTTGTTCATTTTTGAGTCCTTGGTGCCTAGCCCAGAGCTTGGCACATAGGAGATGCGCAGTAAAATTGTTCGTTGGTGAATGCACCTTTGTTTTCTTTCTTCTTCAGAAAGATGTCTGATATGTGTTAAGTCCGAGAATCATGACCACAAACAAGGCTGGAGAATGCTTCTGCTTTGTAATAGCTCTCATGGGTCATGTCTAAGGAAAAGGTCCTGAGGCCAGAAGGCAGAGGTCCAGGTCTGGCTCAGCCATTATCCAAGAAACCCTGGGACCTTCGGCCTCCCTGGAACTCAGCGTCCTCCGCTGCAGCATGGAGGTCATCCTGTCTCCTCTGCCTGCCTCTCTGCATGGTTATGAGAACGTGACACGAGAATGGATGAAACAATTTTCTGAGAATTTCAAAGACCGTGCCGGAGGTATTACTTTTATATATATATTTTTGTTACAGATACTTGTAGACTTGAGCTGCTCGTGATTATCTTTTTTCTCAATCTCTTTTCTTCCACAAGTTCATGCTTAGGAACCAAAGCCAGGTTTACCTCCTTCCCCAGCTAAAGAAATATCCATCCTGGTAGGCCAGGCACTGCCAAGTGCTGGCCTCCTTGGAGTTCAGTCGCCTGTCTGGTCAGCAAACATTCCTGCATCACAGGCGGCAAGGGACAAGTTAAGTCGCAGAAGACTGGCCGACAGATAGTTGTCAAAGCCACCGAGAGCAGAAGCAGCACCGTCTTCTCCCCAGAGGACTGTGCTCCTCTACGCCTCCTTGAGCTGCGTCCAGAGAGCACTTGGCGCCCTTTCTGTCTAGAACAGGCCCAGGGAGGAGGTAAGTCGTGCAGCCAGCCAGGGACCAGGAGAGCCTGGGCAGGACCCTCGCCTCCTGACTTCCGAGAGCTGCCTCCGCCCCCTGCGCCTCTCCAGGGACTGATGGATGAGGCCGTGATGGGCGTGCTTGGCCTCCTGCTGTCTCTTGTTGCTCAAGTAACTGAGTGAGATGAAACAGAAACAAGCCACGTGACCTTGCTGCCTCCACCCATGCGTCCAGACAGCCCCTGTCTCAGCCAGAGTCACAGTCAGGCCAGTCGATCCGGGCTGGGCGTGGTTTTGGGGTCAGGGACCCCCTCCCCGAGGAGAAACGCCTGAGCTGGGTGGCCGCCGGTATTCTCTGAACACTGTTCTTGAGCAGACAAGATGTTGAAGCGGGGGTGGGCTGGGGGGCAGAGGTTGAGGGATCAGAATGATTTGAGTGTGCGGCTGCCAGCATGTCACATAGCTGGAATGGTGCGAGGCCTAGGATCTAGCTGCCTGTCCTTGGTTTACTCAGGGAATCTATAGAACGAGAGGGCAGAGGGCATGGCCTCTAACCCTCACCTTTGAAATCTGTGTCTCTAGCTTTCCCGCTTGCCCCCGGGATGGGCCCTCCCAAGCTTTCAGATAAGGGCGTTTCATTTTTTTTAAATAAATAAATTTATTTAAATAAATTTTAAATAAACTGTGTTGGGTCAGTGAGCAGGCTTTTCATCGCACTGGCTTCTCTTGTTGCGGAGCGCGAGCTGTAGGCGCGCGGACTTCAGTAGTTGTGGCTCGCGGGCTCCAGAGCGCAGGCTCAGAAGTTGTGGTGCATGGGCTTAGTTGCTCCACCACATGTGGGATCTTCCCGGACCAGGGCTCGAACCCGTGTCCCCTGCATTGGCAGGTGGATTCTTAACCACTGCGCCACCAGGGAAGTCCCAAGGGCCTTTCTTAAGAGCCACATGATACCATGGGGATGAGGGCAAGGTCAGCTGGGAAAGAGGTACCTCCTTGCAGGCCACAGAGAGGGGAGCTAGTCAGAGGAGAGGAGAGGAGAGGTGCTGGGCAGGGCACCACATAGACAACCACTGCAAGGTCTCCCTCCAGCCTCAAGGCCCAGCTCAATGATGACCTTCTTCTAAAGCCCTTTCAAATCCACCTGGGCTGGAAATACCACTTTCCTCCTCTCTACTTACCCAGTGTTTTCATTTGCATCTCCCTGTACACTTAGCACCTGTTTACCATGTCCTCACGTTTTGAATAACTTTTGTTACACAAATATTAATATGTGCTTATTGAAGGAAAAATTAGAAACACAGACACTCACAAAGAAGAGATTAAAAACCGCTCAAATGTGCTACCTGGAGGTAACCACTGTTGGCATTTGGGGGTGTTGGCCCTGTTTAGGTTCATGTCTCTTTTCTCTGCCTGCATTCAGCTCTTCTAAAGCCAAGTCCAAATCTCCCCTCCTCTCTGTGTACCCTCACAGCCACCACAATGCTTCCATTCAACAGGGTCTCAGTTCGTGTGTTTTAAATAAATGGATGGATAAACAAAGGAAAGCACAGATGGATGAGTGGACAGAAGGTGGGGGAAAAAATGTTCTGCTACCCAAAAGTAGCCCCAGCGGAGGAACCAAGAAGAGAAGAGGAGGTGTCAGCCCTCAAAGTCACCTATAGCCGCCTTCCTCTCCCCTCCCCAGCCTCTCTGCTCCCATCAGAGCAGAATCAATGCCAGGAAGTGAGTGTGCACAGAGAGTGGGCCAGATCTGGACAACAATTACTAGTGCAAAGATAAAGATGAAGCCCGATCCCTGCCATCTGACCTGGAAACGTCAACCATGGCTTAAGGGAAAAGAGGATTCATGGCAACAGCCAAGTCAAGGTCGCCACGTGTGTGCAATATTTTCAGCTCAGCAAGCAATCTGGCCGATTCAAAGCTGCTGGTAAATGGGTTCCAAGAAATCTGATTTCATCAGCGCCGTGGACACGGGAGTACGTCCCCATGACTTGCCCCTCACTGGGTTGAAGATTATCAATGATTTATCTGGAGCAGAAACAGCAGGATTCCACATTACATCTTGGAAGGCAGCCGGAGCAAAGGCAGAGAATTAACAAAACTTTATTATTAATTCCAATACCACAACGCCCCATGGGTTCTGCAGCAAATCACGGGCTCTCTTAAGAGGAGTTTCTCTGTGTTTAAGTGGAGCTGATTTTTTGTTTGTTTGTTTGTTTTTTGGGGGGTTGTTGTTTTTTTAATGGGGCTTGTCCTCATTCTTAACTATAAAGACAACCTCAAAGTCACAAATGTTCATTGATCATGCACAAGTCCAGAGCATGCTCTGTGCTACAGGAAAAGCAAACTAAGTCAGACAGTCCCTGTATTGCATTCACACAAACATCAAACCTTAATTGAGGCTGTTCTATGTGCCAAACACTGTGCAAGGCGTTGGGTTTCACAGCACATTACAGTTATGATCCTGTTTTAAAAGCGGAGAGGGACTTCCCTGGTGGTCCAGTGGTTAAGAATCCGCCTTCTGGGACTTCCCTGGTGGCGTAGTGGTTAAGAATCCACCTGCCAATGCAGGGGACACCACGGGTTTGATCCCTGGTCCAGGAATATCCCACATGCTGCAGAGCAACTAAGCCCGTGCGCCACAACTACTGAGCCTGCGCTCTAGAGCCCGCGAGCCACAACTACTGAGCCCATGTGCCACAACTACTGAAGCCCGTGTGCCTAGAGCCTGTGCTCCACAACAAAGAGTAGCCCCCACTCACCGCAACTAGAGAAAGCCTGCGTACAGCACCGAAGACCCAATGCAGCCAAAAAAAAAGAATCCACCTTCCCCACATGCTGTGGGGCAGCTAAGCCCGCACGTCACAACTACTGAGCCCGTGCGCTCTAGAGCCTGCATGCCACAACAAAGATCCCACATGCCACAACGAAGATCCCAAGTGCCCCAACTAAGACCTAACACAGCCAAATAAGTAAATTTTTAAAATAAATAAATTAAATAAATAAAAAATTAACAAAAAATAAAAGTGGAGAGATGAGCCTCAGGGAGGTTACACAACTTCCCCAAATTGCCCACAGGCACAGAGTTTGTAAGAGACTTGGGATTAGAATAAAGGGAAAGAATCTGACAGTTTATTATTTTTATGATCATTATAGCTCCACTTCAGTAACCTTAGAAATACTCAGCCAACATTCGTGTGAGCTTCCCTCTCACTAGCCCAGAACAAGCCCCAGTTCATGCCAGGGGAGTGGCAAAGAGGTCTACCCTCATTTACTCTCCTACTGCTATGTGCAAAGCCAAATGTCAACTGGGCCCTGCTCTCTGCTTATTCACAGTGATCTGCTGATGCCTGCCCTCCACGTGGTGCCCAGAGATGGCCATGGTGCAAGGGTTGATCATGGGCCCAAAACCAACAGCGATGAGCAGGAGAGGAAGGCAGTTTTGCTCCCAGCTTGAGTGTTTTTTCTCCTCAACCTCAGAGCAGCATTCAGGTGCTGAGGGAAAGGAGCCTGAATTTTGGAGCCCTGCAGACTGGGATTCAAACCCCAGCCCAACCTTCTGCAAGTTGTGTGAGCTTGGGCAAGCCTTTCAGCCCCTCTGTGGCTTCACTTTCTTCCCCACTAAATGGAGGCCATACCTACCCTGCAGAGGGTTTCAATGCGGTAACGTCAGCCCGCTGTTGCTCAATCAATAGTAGCCATTTAGTATTGTCCAAACTAAATTCCACCCAAGAAGCAGAGTCATGATTTTTTTTTGGCGGGGGTGTACGTGGGCCTCTCACTGCTGTGGCCTCCCCCACCGCGG